TACAAAGATTGTAAATACGTTAGGATGTTGATTAAGGAAACGGTGCGCGTTGCACGCGGCTATCTTCAATGAACACAGTTACGTCATGTTTAGTTCATGAATGTTTCTAATTCTTGTACAATTTCGTAGTTTAGTTTTAGCGATAACGCCGCCTAAGGTTAGAGGTCACTTCGTTATTATAATAAACTTGAATTGAAGTTTTGATATGGGTAATGTTTTGTATTCCATTGAAAGCGAATGCAGTTGGATAACAAAAAATATAATATTAATGTTAATTTTTTATGTGACTTATTGACTTTTGGTTAACTTTGGCATTCCCATTTTAATATGGGTAAATTTGCAAATGTTTTAGTTTATTATAAATATCTTTTGTTACAATAAACAAAACATTTTTAACGTAAGATTGACGTCAGTCAGGAAGGGAAGTTTTACTTCGGAAACGCAAACTATAAACAACGGGATATGCAATTGATGAATCTGCAAAACAACAAGGCATTATTACATTTATGTATTAAAAGTAATACAAAGTTTACTTTTGTATTTTACTTTGAAAAATATTAACTAGTTGTTGTCAACGACTTCGTTCTTGTAAGATATAACAATGATACAATCGAGTAACGCTATTATAGATTGTTATCTATCTCTGATACAAAAAAATATTGAACTGATCTTGATCAACAAAGATCATTCCATTCAATCTGTCGCATTCATAACATGAGTAAAAAGTATTGGATATTTTTTCCCATAATTTATCTATGTCAGTAGTAAGAAACGGGATATTTTATTGTAACTTTCTACAGATTAAGTAAAGTAACGGAGACGGTATTGGCGCAGAATGCACAAGTCATAGTACAACGAGAAAGCGCAGCGGCTTGCCCTTAGCTGGCAATTGCGTTCAACGGTACATCTAGCTACAATGCAACTGAGATACGCAATGCATTGAAGATGTGCGGAACTGGACGACTTTAAAGTAACTTGTGTCCATAACAGTGACATATTCTGGTATGCCGTTCGTTAATATCATTTTCAAAAGAGAAAATCTTTCGGTTTTATTTGTTTTAATTAGTATAATTAACTGTTTTTTTTATGCCGGAAAAATCAAATACCAGGAAAGGGATTGTGGTTTTTAATAAAATTATAATTTAATTACTAGTTGATGTAGAGTTGAGTTTAGTTTGCTCTTATAAAATTGATGCTTTTTAAGAAAAGCTAATAATATACTACAAAAGTTTAATTGTTAAATACATTAGACTAATAGCACTAGAAGAGGAACGAAAGTTAAAGTTTACTATTTGTAGATATATGACGTCATAACGCAGTTTAAGTTAGAGACGATTACATTATAAACATTTTGGAGGCGCGTGCAGTTTTTATTATCGAAAGGGAATTTATATGTGTTTTGTAACGAGTTGATCCCATGTTGACAATGCCACTTCCAGTCATAAGTTAACCCGTTGCGGTTGTATATGTGAGCAATAAATAGTTATTTTTGAATCTTATCTGAGAGATCGTACTTCGAGTGTTTATTGATGGCCTTTACATAGATGTTTAGAGTTTAATGTTGATGTAAGTTTATTGATATTAATACAATAAAATTTATTACAGTTGTTACGGTATTAAAATATGTAAAGAAACGCGGCGGTTGGTCGTAGGGTTTGCTTGCGTCATTGTGCGTTGCATAACATTTCACTTACATTTGGGGCTTCTGATTTTTATTTTTATTGTCAATAAAATAAATTAAATTGTTGTTTTCTATGTTGCCCGAAGGATTTATTTCAGATATCATTGTTATTAAACCCTTGATTTAATACACGATTTTATTTCGATAAAGAGAATACCAAAAGTAGCATCTAACGCTATTTTTATTCAAGCTTGGTAAGACTTAATCCATATAGGGACTATACAGCCTCTTATATTATCCCATGCCATTGAGATCAATAACGCCTTGACGAATATATACAGATTTACGGATGTTCAATTACAATTATATATGCATAATAATTTATATTTCTAAGCAACGAAACATTTGTTACATTATATGGAGAAAACATCTGTTCATATTAATTAACCTGTCTCTTAATATAATAGAGAGATTAGTAAGAATGACAGTTTGTTACTCAACATTATTCACTAATCACACATCACATGGGAAGATCGCAAAACATATCTTCACAATGTTACATATTCATAAACAGATTACTGTATTTTCTAATAAATAACTATTATTAATGATATTCATTTGTATTCTGAATACAGGTAAATCTAACTTAATTAAGCTGGTTAAATTAAATATCATAGCTAACTTGAAATAACTGTGCGCTAGGCGACGTAAAAAAGCTCCGCAAAGATTGGAAAAACAATTTTTTGAATACGAGAGGATTCAGATAAATGTTCTTATAATATTCATTGTATATACTCGTATGCTTTCAAATCTCTAACTTATTTATTTAATACTAGCTTTCGCCCTCCACTACGTCCGTGTGGAATTAAAAAATAAACAAAAGCAAGTACCTTATGTGCTCTCCCAGACTATCCTCTAATCTATGACAAATTACATTGAGGTCCATTCAGCAGTTTAGGTTACAAACTCTTACAAATATCTATCCATCCATCTAAACTTTCGCATTTATAATATTAGTAAAATTTTAAATAGGCTTTAAAGACTTTAAAGAAAGGCTTTATTAATATTTTTGTAACAATACATAAATTCGGAATGCATTGATTTATAGTTTTAACAAGTTCGTGTTAAAATGTACTCCTCGTAAATAAACAAATGAAGTTATTGCATTCTCCAAGGCTAGGAATCTTCTATTCAGATGTTGCATGATAAACTGTACTAGCATATTTGCCGATGTTAGTTCACAAACAACGTAATAACTACGTTACGTTGTTGTTAGTTGTTTGAAAAGCGTCCCCGTATGAAATATGTGAATCTATTTTATTAGACATCAACAATATATGAAAATATCTCAGATAATTATTTGTGTTATGTAGAAAATAAGGTTTTTTTGTGTAGTTTAATATGTTACTAGCATAATTCCGTTTCCGTTTTTCCCTTTTATAGCGATTAGAGCAAGTTTATAAGTGTAAACTCTCTCTCTCTCTCTTATAAAATAATCATGGAAGAACTCTTTAATAATATTTTTTTTAATCGGTAACAGTTATAAAGTTTGTCAACACAGTCAGGATTATTCGATTGTTATTCGAAGTCAGACAGGAGTTTTGTTATAAGAAAGCAATTTACATCGATAGGGACGATAAATTAGACCGAATATCCATCCATAATCGATAAGTACAATCGATTACAGATCGATATTTATGCCACTAGAGCAACACGAGTCGATGAATGGAACTAATTCTAATAACACGCAGCTATATTTGGATGTTGACTAAGACGTTTCGTTTACCAACAGGAATCGGAATTAAGTAGCCTCTACTAATGATGCCATTATCTTATCATAACAACTGTTTATCACTTCAGTTTACATTGTAGATGTTTTATTGATACTAAGAGAACTGTGAGAAAATTTATTGTACGTTTACCAGAAAACTCATACAGACTCAAACATCGTAGAATGCGTGTAGCTTTCCGTGAAAATTTAAGGAAGACAAAATGTTTTTTTTTTCTTGAATATTAAACTCATCAATACATGTATCTATGTATTTAAGTAAACAAACAGATATCAACAGTTTATTTAAAAAAAATAACTTATTTAAATAAGGTAACTAGTTTCTTTATAACAATAAAAAACGACATAAACGCTTATAAACTAAATTCTAATATAATGAAAATAATAAATGAAATCTATTAATTTTGTTGTAATTTAAGGTAATTTATTTTCATTAACCAAATAATTAAAAAAAGGTTTTCTTTAGCAAAGCAAAACGAGAAAACTTTGCTAAATAAAAAAAAAGCCTCATTTGTGAATTAAGAATATTATTTGTAAATATTGCCATTCTCACAATTTTTTAATGAATTTTACTTACTGCTGTACAGTAAGCGACATAAATATGTAAACAGTTACAAACCTTAGAAACTGGTAAACGCTTTCGGTTTCCAAAATATGTATGAATGCACATTTCTTATGAATACGTACTAATTACGAATACGTCTATACTCATTTTTAAAAGCGTAAAACGTAATTTGTATAGACAAATTTCTGTAGTTGTTTTATATTTATGTAGCTGACTGTACATATAGATGATACTTTTCTTACGCAATCCATTTGATATTAATATTATATAATTATCGAGATAACTTTGGGCCCCAGTTTTGTAGATTTCTAACTCGTAGTGCGCTGTTTATCGTTGGACTATCGTTAGCGCGTTAATCAGCTGCTAATAACGTGAAATATAATTTAATTACCAACGCTAATTCTACATTATCAATATGAAAACATTTGCTTATACATATTTCAAGGTATTAATGCTATATTTACCCTCGTTTCAATTGTTTTAAGATGTTTTATGGACAAAAATCACATTATACTTTTGAAACCAATTCTCGACTTTAAATAGAATCGATAAATCCCTCTTTTTTGTTGATTGCTGACTCAAAGTTAAAGATAAAGGGTGTTCGAAAATGAAAATGTGATAACTTAATTTATTTTTCCTATCTGCATTTAAGAAAAGCTAAAATAACATCATCTTATGGTCGTAAATGATTTACATTGTAAATGAAGAGCTTAAAAACCCTTACAGACTTGTAAACATTGTAATATTAAATTCATGAACTAATATGCGATGTAGACGAAGTAGCATTGTGAAAAACAATTGTTTTGCGACGTTCGGTTGTTATCAACAACGTTGCAAATGTTAAAGTAAAAACAGTATGTTTATAAATGGCTTACATTACTTTTTATAGATATAAAAAATGTTATGAACTTTACCAGGTTTTTCTTATCAAAACAGACGACCGAGGAAATTTCTTGTTAATAAGAATTCAGAAGAATACTTTTTTAGTTTGTTTGCTACATTTTAAGAAGTTTAAGAACACTTACCCTTCGCTTCCTATTTGTTTTCTCAGTAGATTGAACGTGATTTTTCACTCTGATATTCATTGTTTATAATTTCTCACCGCGTACTCATAGTGCATCACAATAAAAGTTTAATCCACAGGATAAACCAACAACCACGAAATCTTTAAAACAGTTTCAAAAACAAACTACGGTCGTTATAAAAAATTGTGCACTATCACTGTAATTTATTTTATAGACACTCAAACGTTTATTGTTAAATGGACACATAATCAGTCACTAGATTTTGGCGGGCATTTGTCACGCTGTCGCTAGTCGTATGCGATTACGACGTGACGTGCGGAGCTACGAGATGCGTCACGCTACGCGGCGGGCAAGTGACGGAGTGTTGTTCATCCTGCGCCCGCCTCCGATAGCACGCGCTGGTCCCGCCGCCGCCCACTCGACCCGCGCCCCACGGCCAGAATAAATCACTGCTTACCCCATTTAATTAACCCTCACTAACACTAACAACCCGCCCTGACTTCACACGGGTGGTAGGGCAAAACTTTTTTGTCACCGATAAACTACGTTTTCTTCAAAATTTGTCAGAGTGCGAACACAAAACGATTTTTGAAAAAAAAAAATTAAAAAAGGAAATAGACAACAAATTCATGACTTTAGTTATAATACCTTGCACAGTCAAACACGAACTTATGGACTGTTTGCACGGCATTACAACATTTATTACAATCTTATTACATCGCTATCTGATCAAATAGGGGCGATCTCTGGAAGAATTATCACTTGCAGACAGATAATATAATTGCAGTGTCCGAGCCTTTAATAGGAAGCCTTGTAGCGGCAAGGGGCAAGCGTGAAACACATATCAGTTATCTAGCATTTATCTTTTTTGACAGCTAATTTTTGTTTTCTTTTACACTTCTGTACCTCACTGTATCAGCATTCGATCTGGTAGGAGGTGCAGTAGAATTTAATCTAGCAAAGGCATATAAAAAACGAATGCATTGTAATGTAAGGTTGAATAAAAAGAAAACTATTTCGTTCCTCAGGTTATTTCTTTTTAAATCGTAACCGACTTCCAATAGGAGGGTGTTCTGAATTCGTTTGTATTTTTTAAATAACTTGCTACTCCTGTAAGCCAATTTACCACCGCGAGATGTTTTTTTTACAGATTCCACGAAACAAAGATCTCTTTAAAAAATAAAATAAAATCAAACCAACTAAAAGGACAAGAAAGTTCGCTAGTACATTTAAATATTTCTTTCCGTAGATATCATCTGTTTCATTAAATAAATAAGTGACCAATAATACAACATTTGCTTAAGGCCTCCACTTCTACGTTAAGGAGGCATTACGTCATAGATGGAAGACTGACGTCATAATTTGTTCAACTCAGTAAACTCTTGGTCTACGTTTATACTAACGATTCGAAACTTTTTCGGGAAACGATGATTTCCAGAAATATTTGCAAAAATGTTTAGTAATTTTGAATAATAAAAAGCACATAAGTGCTTAGATTTCAAAACGCGTTAAACATTATCATCTAAACGTACGACTATTTTACGAGGTTGTAAATATAAAATACATTATTTTGATGTCTTATAACCTGCTTATAACAGTTTAATGTGCGTTTGATGCTATCAAAACGCATCACAACGTTTATATGTAGATAGCTAACCACTCGCTGAGTCAATGAAACTGCGTTTACATTACCACTTTCCGTGCAATTAGTTTGCCCAGTCCCTGAAGGCTTTAAGATCAAATCGGAAGCCTTACGTTAATGGATAGGACGACTCTCGTTTTAATGTTCGAGAGCTTTACTCCGCTAAAAGCTAATGACTATAAGCGAGCTAATAAACGTCCGTTCGTATTGACGCCGCATACAAATTGTACTTGATCTGAGTATGTTACTGACAAATTGTTAACTTTGCAATTTTTATTTTATTTACACTGGGTTTCTGAAGTTTACGTTTATCATTACCAGGGATTCATTAGTAAGCTATGTTTCAATAAAGTAAAACTCAAGTTACGTAGCTTGGAATCCCATTTCATGAAGTTATCGAACCAAAAACCCTTAGAATAGTTAAACGTAGCTGGGAAACCGTCTATTACTGAAATGCATCTGTACTAAGTTTTTAACTTAATTTTAGATTGTGTTATTCATTTTAAACGTAATTTGAAGCGAAATATAATGGTTCGCTTTTGAGATGAATTAATAAAATTGTTATAACAAATGATACGTTTCCTCTTCAACATGGAAACATATGTCCAGTTCGATTGGAAAGTGACCAATTCCACTATCAGTCGGTAACAGTACTTCAGTACACTGCCGCAGTTTGTGCAGTAGTATTGGTTTACATGCGGTATTTGTAGAGCTTAAACTTTTTTTACTTAACTTGCTCGGTTTCTTTACTTACAATCTTTAAAGTGTTATTATAGTGCGTATGTAAATCTTTATGTTTTCTATATTGCCAAGACAAAAAAATCGATAACTTTGTGAGATCGTAATATTTTTTAAATTCGATCAAAGTCCATAACCGTCGTAATAGGATGACTCAGTACAAGATAAATGGCCATTCCCGTATTAGTCGGTCGTGGATTAAGATCCTGTCATGGACATTTAGGTAAAGCCTCTAATCCTAAGCGATCAGTCAAATTTTATATGCTTTGGGCTAGTACAGCTTAACTATTTTAATTCGTAAGTCAGTCAAATCAAAACTGATTATACGTCGTAGACAATTTACCCAAGCTTCGTAGATTCCTAAATTATATGATAATAGGCATATAAAAATACATTTGCTATACAACAAATATTAAACAAGTTGCAACATTTTTAACATGCTAGTAGAAGTGACCTGAACATTACTTTTGCATTAAAATAAAAAAATAAGTAACTAGTTCTTGCAACATAATTTACAAAATAACCTTTTCATTCAATTAAACGCGACTGAAGCTGACAAGTCGATTAGCGGCCAGCGGTTATAGCGCAGCGTTCAGCTACGAATACGATACAAGTAAAATACGATACAACTAAACCATAAATGAAATAAATAACAAAACAAAACTCCGACATCGCGCCACCGATCTTGTTACTTACACTATCGCAATTCTGAATTCAATGTCAGTTATTTTTAATAGAAAACCATGATCTTTGTCCATAACGGAGCTACAAGGGTGTCAAAAGTGCCTGAATCGCTTCGAGAAAATAGTGTTTGGCCGTGCTCGCTTTAGTGGGTGCACTGCTGCACCAGATATGATGGTGGAAATTTAATCTTCATAAGAAATTCCTGTTTTCGTATACAAATGTATTCACCAATTTAATAAACAAAGTTCAAAGAATTTATTTATTTGAATGGCATTTTTTGAATTTTATAATTATTATGGGCTTTACATTTCAAAACCCTTAAGTTTTCTAATGCAAAGAAAACACTGAGATGCCCAGACCTAAAATATGTTTAATTTAGAACTACGAAGGCTGTTTAATAATGTAAAGAAAAAATGTGCATTGCAAAAGAATAGTTACTATATACAAAGTTCTCATGTTGATGAGTATTTTATACGACCGTACGAATATGTAAGTTTCTTTCAGTAAATTATCCAACAAACTTCATAAATTTACTCGCATAAAAGTTACGTACGAAACAAATGAATAACGAATTAATACATCGAATGTATGGGTCGTCGAGTTGTCCATTAATCATCAAATCACATCGCACAATGCAGTTTAATTAGATATCAGATACAACAGAGAACCGCATTGTTGCTACATCAGGCACCTCATCAATAAATCAACTTTAAACATCACTTAATCATTCAGGCCCGGTCATGTTGACTCTACACAAATTTTACAATCATAAATTAGAGACATACACTGTAGGTTTCAAATTTTTGTTTTAAATCATTAACATTTTTTATATAAAAGAAGATTTTTGTTAAACTACTAATATTTCTTTTAACCATGCCAACTAAGCTCTAGGCTTGTGCTAGGATATGGTTCACGACAAAAGTCGAATGGCGAGATTCGATCCCTCGATCGCAATATCTGTAGTCCGTATCCCAAACCATTGGGCTCGGCGCTTATTATTAAATTACCAGTTTTCGCCCGCGACTCCGTCCGCGTGAAATTAAAATAAAACAAAAGTAAGTAGCCTATATGTTCGTCTAGGCTATCCTCTACATCTATACCAAATTTCATCAAAATCCGTTCAGTCGTTTAGACTACAAACTCTAACAAACATCCATCCATCTACACTTTCGCATTTATAATATTAGTATGAGTATGATTATAGTACTGGACGAAATCTAGATTGTGTAAAACATAAGTATTTATTAATTTTGTTGTATTATATAGTAAAATATTTTATTGTACAATTTCTGCTTTTTTTGGTCATCTTTTATGTTGCCTTTTGGTGCCGTAGTGTATCGGTCGCTACTTAGTTATCTAACTGGTTAGGTAGTAGGCATTAACTGAACATACCGAGTGTTTAACACCACTTGTTTTACAGGACTGATAAACTTTTATTAGTTGCATTTTCTCTTTCATAACTTTAATTTTATGCCGATAATTTCCATATATTTTATTCTAATAAAATCCAATAAAACACTTAATTAAATTTACGTAAGAGAAGTTAGTTAGAAATAGCAATATCATAAAGGCGACGCAACCTCCTGAGGTTCTCAGTTGCCTTTGAGTATTGCATTTAACAGATCTCATCGTTTATGGTGTTCACTTAGCAAATTGATACATTGCATGAATAAATTTATGTTGATAGATTTACTGCAAAAGCGTTAATTTATCGTGAAATTTCGTAAGCGTATTTAGCTGTTAATAATAGAATCTTTTACTATGATGTTTATTGACTTACGATGAACAAATACAAATTGAGTATAGATTTACTTGGAATATTGGAAACTTAAATTATTTGCAATAACTTATTCATCAACTTTGAAGGTTTTCGATGTAGATGTTATTGTATACGTATTTATGATTCTAAGCATTCATAGATTATGTTGCTTCGAGTAAATTTAGCCATAAAGCAAATAACTACATAAGTGCAACGATTCCGCGAGTAAAATTGTATTTACATGTCAAGAGATGTACTGTTTCAAATCCCAGTTAATAATGTTATACTTGGAAACCTATTAAATCTATACATGTAATAAAATTGGAGTGTCTCTTTGTAATATTGAAAAAAAAATCCGGATTTCGGAAAGATGACGTATTAGCGTTGCTGATAACGAAAATCGCATTAAAAAAAATTTGTATGTCCGCAAGTAGCGTTTGCTCCGGGTAATCTCCGAAACGGCTGTTCCGATTTGACCGGACTTGCACTGAAGGGTAGCTGACATAGACGGGCATATTATAGGCTATTTTTTTGGGTAACGAAAATTGGG